TCTAACTTTTTCAAGTCTTACCTGTGAAGGTGTGATTTCTGTATCTTTGTAGAAGAATAGACATTTAGCTCACTCCCTGGGCCTGAGGGTAGTCACAGCTGTACTGGTAGGGTTGGCTGTTACTATGACAACAAAGGTCACTTTTTGCCTCCCCTCATATCTCACTCTTTTGGCACACTCACACTAGGCAACCCTTACCATGCCTAAGCACGCTTCACCACTAAAGTCCAGTTAGTTTGACCAGTGTGAGTGCTCTGATCCGTGCTCAAGCACCGTACACTTCCTGGTCCTGGAACGCTTGGAAGAGGTGTGCTTCAGCTCGGTACAGTTCATGCATGAGCACGTTGACAGCCTTCATTCTGGAGAAATCCCGGAGTGTTCTGTCTGTATCTGACTAACATGACTCAAAATAAGCCTCAAAGTCTGTAAAGATTCAGAATCGATTTGAAGATTACTTTGTTTGTTTTGATCGTCAGCTGTGGGCCTGCTGGCTGTCCCCCGCTAAAAGGAGATTGTGCTTTTTCAGTTAAAGCCCCAAAACTGTGGAACAGCCTCCCTCTTCCCATCAGGTCTGCATCCTCTACTCACTCTTTTAAGTCCCTTCTAAAGACTTATTTTTAATATTTCAGCATTTGAGTCCTCTGGTCCTGAATAGACATTTATTTTCAGATTCCAGTTATTGCTTTCATTTTCTCTCCTATTTATCCTATCGTATTTGTGTTTTTTGTGTATGTTGTAAATCCCCTGTAAACTGTCTCTTTGATGCATTGTACAGCACTTTGTAAATGTGACTTGACTTGACTGAAGTAGTTGTCATGTTCTCTGAGTTGTTCTCCGATGTGCGGACGCAGACTCGACTGCATGTCCCTTTACTTTTAATTAAGTCCGCCTGTCTTGTAAACTAAGCATGCTCCTTAATTACTTAAAGCCATGCATTCATTGTATTACAGGGTTATGTAGAAGAGGTAACCGTGCTCAGACTCGGTTCATGCTTCAGCGCCGTACAGGGAAAACTGGGCCTAGTGGGAGTGCGCCCATAAAAATCGTATTTGTCTCCTTTTGTGTACTGACCTTATGAGCCTCCTCCCAGCGTCCTGCTGCCGTGTACATGTCTATGGCATCTTTAATGTGACCTCCTTTCACAAACAGCTGCTCTGCCACCTGCAGGCCAAATACACACAACAAAATGCACTCAGAAATACAATCTGAACATCTGAATCTTTCTTAAAAGAAGCTGAACTTTGCATATTAATGTCCACATTGAAATAAAACCCTCTGACATATCTACCACACAAGAATTTTTAAAAAAACTGTATTCTTAAGGGTACAAAAAAATGAAAATCTGAACAGATTTCTATTAATATAAAACGTAGAGATTAGTGTGATTCGTCGATGACTATAGTGTGTATCTGTTGGAGATTGAAGGGTTACAAAAAGGAAGGAGTCATCATTTTCAGTGTGAACAGATTTTCTGCCACATAAAGGAAAACGTTTAATTCCATTAAATCCGTTTGTCCGCTCTGATTAAAAAATGTGAAGTCATTGTTTTTCCACCTGATAACTTCGTGTGTTGAAACCACAGGTGTGAGCGTCCCTCCATTGTTTTTAAGTTTTGAAACCCGAATCATACTTTTTCCTGCAACTTCCACAAGTTGGAAAGCAAAGCGCCTGTTATCTTAATTACTTCCTGTGAATATGCCCATAGAGCAAACAAGACAGAAATGGGCGCTGCTATTTTCAGAGGCTGGCAGTCAGTGGAGGCTGTTTGGCTCAGCTGAGCTCATCAGAACGAGCCGAGCACACTGCGCTTCACCGTCACCGTCGTCATCATCTCTCGTTTCTTTTGTATCCACACCAGATTTATCTTCCCTCTTCTCCTTTTCATCAGTCCTGTTTTTCTGGTGTTTTTGGCAACTTTTGTCACAGCCGTACCAACCTGTCATCATCGCCAAAGCACCCTCCAGCAAACACAGCCCACACTCGGCTCCATGGAGACTGAGCTGAAGTTTGTGTTTTTGTGTCAGTATAGGTGACTGTATGTTTCCCTGAGAGATGCTTAGAAATGAATTGCCGGTGGCAAAATGTCACTGCCTGTTTAATCCCTCTGGCTGCACTGGTGGTGAAACAGTAACCTCAGGAGCTCACTGAACAAAAAACCCAGGATGTTTGACGGTCATGTGGTTTAGTTTAAACATAAATCATAGTGAATTAGAGAAGGACTAATGATAAAAGTCTAAAGTGAGTTACTGCTTATGTTATATTTGACATCTGTGCATATAATTATAGTCTTTATATGTGATTATTCACACTTAAATATAATATAAATCAAGTATCCTCTGAAAATAACTCTGTGAGTCATGACTGTCTACAATGGGTGTAACACCTGAGTCCCACTGTCTGTGATGTTTTCAGAGTTTTCAGAGTCCTATCTTCAGTTTGTTTACATCGCCGGGACGGCCGGCTGACTCCTCCCCTCGTGTATAAAAGTTGTTTAATTGAGGGACTAGAGAAAAGAAGAATAACATACTGTACTCACTGCTTAACTGTGTTTCTAGATCACGCTCATTTCAGGTAAATTTACATGCAGTGTGAAGATACCAGCATAATAAAGATCGCTAGCATTAGCATGCTAACACAACAATGCAGCGCGAGTTGTTTTGGTTTCATGCTGGTGCTCAAGGGCGACATCTGCTGGATCAAAAAATCACATATAGTATTAGCTTCGAAAATGATTGTTTCAGCCTTCTAAATCAACTTGTTATCACTTTCTTTTAGCTACGTGTTGTGTGCATGCATACTAGTTTGTATATATTTGTACATGATTGAAATGCAGAGGGAGTAAAAGCTTAAATTAAAAAAAAATATTTGGGCAACTTTACAATCTCCTCTGGTCGGTTCCCCCTATGCTTTTAGTTTGGCCTTCTTTTACTAATTCCATCCCTCACCCCTCTTCCTCTCACCTCATACTCCTGCATCGAGGCGTAGTGCTGCGCTATCTTTAGGTAGTATTTCCCCGCGGCTGAATCCTCCTGTAACTCCAGGATGTGGACGGCCTTCTTCCACTGTCGGGCTGCGATGGCCGCCTCGATGGCTTTCAGTGAACAGCTGAGGAGGCAAACATAGAAAACAAGAAACAACGGACCGACTTTAGAATAAGTGTGTATTTAAATTGAGTAAATTAACAGACGCTCCACCGTAATGGACAGAGAGACAAATCCACAGTATGTACCGGTAAACTTCTGTAAAGGACTTCAGTAAAAAACCATAAATGTTGAAACTTTACTTGCAAAACAAACTCTCTGAAGTAGTATTTTTAAAAGCTTTGTTGTTGGGGAGAGTTTAGCTTCCCGCAGTCAACATTCAGCTTCAGATGCTTTTTCAACCAGGGAAGAAGAACAATCTGTGCGCTGCTCACCTGTCTTTATTTGGTGTTTTTTGTGTGTGTGTGAAAAAGAATATAATCAGGTTTAAAGATATCTCTTCTCATCCCCTCTCTCATGGTCCTGGTGAGGATTTTACAGAACAATTGGCCGTCTCTGTTGGATTATTTTTACGTTTCATCGCTCCTCCACTCCATCTGCTTAAATTGTTTTTTTTGTCCCGTACACGACGTACCCGGCTTCAATGAAGTGGTTGATGGCGGCGTCCATCTGTTTCTGCTGGACGAGGTAGTCTCCCCAGGCCTCCTCCAGTTTCACCACCTCAGCAGGGGAAGCGAGGCGAGCCAGCTCCACCGCTACGGGAAGCATGGAGGAGAAAACTTTATGTAATCTACTGTTTACCTCAACTCAACTTGTAAACACCGTCCACCTCGTGTTGCATAATGAAGATGAATTGTAGCCAGAGTCAAACCCTAATCTTGGTATGCAAACATGTTCGTTATGACTTTGCAAACATGCTGCTTTAATGTTCATCACCTCAGCGGAGCATGTTGGCATGGTAACATTGGCTAATTAGCAAAAAGTATGGATAAGACTGGTGGTATTTATATTTGCAATTCATCCAACAGTTGTTTGAGATATTTCATTCAAAGCCCACAAATATAACCTTACAGAGACACAATTAAAAAAAAGTCAAGGATCCTAAGGATGGCTGGTTTGGGAGTCATAGCCCAATGCACCAAATTATGTGCCAAACCGTCCAAAAGTTCTTTAAAGGTCACTTCACCATGTTTTTCTAACACTAATGTGTGTCTCTAGTCTGTCTACAAACCCCCAGTTATGAGAAAAGTCCATCCTCTCCGTCTTCTACCTGCTCCACTTTTCAGAAAATGTGTGCTCAAACAGGCCGTTTGGAGATTTTCCCTTCATGACATCACAGAGGGCAGTAACCCCTCCTCCAGGTGGGTGACACTCCCACAGCTAGGTGTTTGTTCTGCCCTCTGAGTCTGGCTTCTCACCGTAAACAACAGGGCATGGAGGGCAATAGGGCAAGCCTGAGCTACATCCCCTTCCAAAGAGGGGGTGTGGTCAGACACAGCTCATTTACATATTTAAAGGTACAGACACAGAAACAGCCTGTTCTGAGCAGGGCTGAAATAGAGGGGTTTATAGGGATGATCACCACAGATCACATTGTTGATATTAATTATAATTCAGGATAAACAAATCCATCTTCCTGTGATCAGTTTACCTTTCCTGAAGGCTCCTCCTTTGACGTAGCACTCCAGAGCTCTCTGGTTGTTCCTGATCTTCTCGTACAGATCTCCTGCCTGCTCAGAAGACAAAAAGGATTTAAATTCATAGAGACTTATATAAAACTAGAAAATACAATCTTACTGACTCAGGGTTGTTAGGAATGTAAACTAAAAGTAAGTGACCTCTCTACCCACCCACATACTTTAGTGTGCTTTGGGTCTTGGGCTGTTTTATGCTCTTGCCTTTAAGTTTCAAAAACGAGAAATCTAGAAGCCTAAACACACAAAAAACAACAACTTTTTGAACACTTTAACTTTAGACCTCTTCAGAGACCTCCTTGGTTATGCTACTGTGGCTGAAAAGGAGATGCTAAACTTTAATACATGGGTGTTTTGCCCATTTGGACTTATTTAGCTTTTGTTTATTTCAAAATCAATCAATTTGGATTAAAACTCATACTGTAGTGTTCGGTGTCCACAGTCTTTTCAACGTGCCATAAGCTTTAGCTTTGGGAACTTAGCCGACGGTGTGAGTATGGCTAGCAGTAGGAGTGTGTTTCTAGTTAAGAAATTTGAAAATCAAGATAACAAGTCTAAATGTTGTGACGAGATAAAATGTTAAAGAGGGGGGAAAAAACTAACAAATAGTTTGAATGCTAATTCAACAGATCAATAACAAAGTGCAGAAAACACAAAATCTCTGCGAGTAACAGAAAATATCCTGAACGTCAGCGGGGCACAGAGATTGCTGCAAGTTAAAAATCTATTATTTCAAGCGTCCATATCTTTCTTTAAACACCCAAAATAATGAAACCCCGTGCCATCAGACAACGGCAACACACATTTTGTTCCGAGGTTTCTGTTCTTCCTTTTCAAAGCCTCTGTCTTTCCCACCTGTTCCACAAACACAGATGGCTGGAGGAGAAAGAATTGAGTCCTCAGACAGAAAGAGACACAGAAAATTACAGACAGATGGAGGGAGACAGAGTGTAAATCTGAATAAACAAAGAAAGATGTTGTTTCTCTGTTGATGCCTCTTCCTCTACTGGCGTCTTTTGGGAGCTGGAATGGGAAATGTTTTTAATGAAGACGAGAGTTGGAGGAAGGTGTGAAAGAGGAGGCGGTCCACTCACCCTCTCGTAAAACTCCCCCTTGATGAGGCTGGCTGCGATGCGGCCGACGGTGTCACTGTTGTTGATGATCTCCGGCCGGCTGATGGCAAGGCGGGCGGCTTTAGCGGGCAGTCCGGCCTTCAGGTAGAGGTTGATGGCTCCCTGAAAGTCACCCTCGCTCTCCTTCACCTCGCCCGCTTTCTCGTCCTGACCCGTCTCCATTAACCACTGGTAGCGGTTCCCACGGAGGCTGTCCAGCTCTGCGTGGCCCTGAGGTCATTTTGGGACAAGAATGCAGTCATTTCTTGGTTAGACATACCTTTAATCTAGAAAAAATTATCGTTTTAGTCGACTGTCCACTTTGTGTTTTCAATTTATAAAAATGTGAGACCCAGTAAAATGAAGTATGCAGAGCAGCAGCAGCAGCAGCAGCGGGTCTCCTCAGGTTTAAATGCAAAGCTGTTAAAGTATAATTCTGTGTGTTCATTATCACCTTAGCTTCCGCCACAGCAATGCTGTCGTCCCACATGTAGAGCTCCTGGTACATCTCTATAGCTTCATCAATGGCGTTCTGCAGAAACAGAAAAGAAAGGATTGTACAAAACACAAATACACAATTATCAAATGCATTTTTTGATTCTGCATGTGTGTACAGACTTGACACTGATAAACTGTGCTAATAAAAAAACAACACCTTTTTAACAAAGCCTTCTGCTTGTGCTTTTAGTTTCGTTAGTTGATGAAATTTGTTTTTATTTCTATTTTTTTCTTTTTTCTGTAGCACTTTGAGATTTTTTGCAAAAATGTAAAGTGCGTTACAAATTAAACGTATTATTATTATTATTATTATTATTACTTGACACTGATAAACTGTGCTAATAAAAACAACAACACCTTTTTAACAAAGCCTTCTGCTTGTACTTTTAGTTTCGTTAGTTGATGAAATTTGTTTTTATTTCTATTTTTTTCTTTTTTCTGTAGCACTTTGAGATTTTTTTGCAAAAATGTAAAGTGCGTTACAAATTAAACATATTATTATTATTATTATATTATTATTATTATTATTATTATTAATACAGCCACACAGATAGAAAGGAGAAGTGTTTTTTAATATCCTTTTTTGTTGCTTCTTAAATCACAGCTGTTCAAATGCAGTTGAAGAACAGAATGTGATAGATTTAGTGGCTGTATGATTTGTTGTAAAAGCTGAAATGAAAGTTAACTGTGATTAATCCTTCATACTGAAACATGAAACAGTCATTTCTAAATGGCTCAGTAGTGCAATGTTTGAAGTTTCCTGTTACACGCTGAAGAAGAGCGTCTGCTCCAAACGTCCATGTTGAAATTAAAAGTACACTTTGGAGGGCTGTCCTTATTGGTTTTTCTTGTTTTGGACACTAATTCTGGATCCAGTTGTTACACTCTGTTAGGGATTTGAGTGTGTTTTTCTTTACGACTAAAAGGAGAAATACTTTTCCCAGTCTGTTGTTAGTTTTTTTGTGTACGAGGAAAAACTTGGTGTGTAACCCACCTGCTCCAGGTAGTGCATCTCAGCTAGTTTGAAGTTCTTATCCAGCACTGCAACGTGGGCTTGGACCTGGAAAAACTCGGTTCCATCTCCTCCCTGGTCAAAAAAAAACAAACACATGCAGAGTGAAACACACAAACACACACAAGTTTTATTTATCTTTGTTCTTAAGCTTGTTTTTTCAGTTTCCAGCACAAGAAGCTCTTCACAGCAGATGCTGAATTATTTGTTTTTTTTTCAGTAAATATCAATGTAGATTCTTGATAGTCAACCAATCTTAAACCAGAGCCTGAGATTTAGGGGAATCGTTCAGCATGAGTGGAATAATAATAATATGTCAGCATGTCCTCCATCTCTTAATCTGCAGTATATGAAGTCAGTGTGAAGATGTACTGTTGTGTATCTGGATTACAGATCGTATAAAAAGATGGACAACATGACAGCTCTCCAAAAGTGAAGCCAAAATATTTGTATGCTAAATGCGGCTCCTGCAGCATTCTTTACCCAATTAGCAGAATGAAGGAGGAGCAGTGAGAGGAAACATCACAAACAAATCTGTTCTGATGTTTACTGTACCATCCTGAGGGATCCTTAGCTTCAATTTTTTTACAACGAGAGGAGGTGGAGATGTGCCGTCTATCTTTCTATACTGCCAATGATCCATACTGAGATGAAACCCACCATTTCCTGAGAAACTTTGTCAACGATCTGGTTTGTTTGGTTGAGGAAACGTACAGTCGAGACGTCTCCCAAGGCAGCGAAACACCTGGAAGAGAAAAAACCAACAAGAGAAATCAAAAAGAAGAGCATCAGAAAAAAAGAGTTCACTCAATTAACAGAGATAAATTGGGAGCTTTTGTCTAATGAGCGTGCAGTCTGACAGGCTGGGAAAATGAAAAGAAACATCCGTGCGTCTGGTCCACTTTTATTACAAACTCTCCCTGAAAAGTTGCATCAGATTAAAGAACAAGTTATGAAAGGGAAAAACTCCCTGTGTCTGAGTCTCTTTCTCACTTCCTCATTAACATCGGCCGCTCCAGACAAAAAACGTTTCTTTCCCACATTTCATGATTTTTGCAAATGAGGCCGATGCCTAACGAACAGCATATGTATTATTAATGACAGAGGATTCAAATTCAAAAATATTTCTCAAAACAGACACAAATTAAGATGCAGAGAGAGTGAAACTGCTTATTATAGATAGAGAACTGAAGACAAATTAAAAACAGCCTTTGATGGTTAATGAAGTTGGAGACTGAAGGTCAGGCAGGGACACGGCCATCTTTTTTTTGTGTTTGTGTTGGATTGTGTGTGTGTGTGTGTGTGTGTGTGTGTGTGTTTTGTGCGACTGTGTAAAATACTTCCAGGTGAACAAGGTGCCCTTGTTTTTGTCGCGTCTCCTCAGTCCCAAAGATTAGTCTCAGGTACAATCGGGACTGATACGGAACGTAATTAGTTCAGAGAAACGAAAATTAGCTTGCAAGGTTGTGTGTGATTGTGTGTGGGTGTGTGTGTGTGTGTGTGTCTTTTGCTGACCTTTCAGCAATGTGAAGCTGGTGAGCCTCCAGAGCCAGCTTGCTGAGTGTTTTCCACATGGCTTCAGTTTCTGATGACATCTCCAGAGTCTCAAGGAATGCTGTGGCCCTGTGAACACACACACACACACAACCACACACACACACACACACACACACACACACACACACACACACACAGACATAGATGGAAAGCTGAGTCATGCAACAAGACCATGAAGCAAGATGCCAGAAAAAGACAGTTTCACCAGTAGGTTATGTTGCAGAGACTGATCACTGCTATAGAAATACATCAGTAGAAGAGTTTAGTATAAGTATATATCTATGGTCGTTTGCAGCTTGTCTTGGAGGTCACATTTAAAACATTTTGTCATATCTGTGTTAGATTAAGTGTGGAGGCAGCTTCATTTGCAGATTCTGTCCTGGCTGTGAGTCAGTGAACCAGCTCTTTACCCTCGCAGGGCTTCTTGGGGGGGCATGGGAGTTTGCTCATCCAGTCCACATGTGTTTTGTAGACCTGGAGAAGGCTTACGATCATGTTCCTCGGGGGTCATGTTGTGATTTTCATGGACAGGATCTCAAGGCGCAGACGGGGGGGGGAGGATGGCGTCCGGTTTGTGGACCTCAGAATTAGACTTCTACTATTTTGCAGCAGATGTGGCTTTCTCAGACTGGTAACCACCAGCAGGCATAGGGGCGGTTTGCAGCCGAGTGAGAAGCAGTCGGGGGGTCCTTCCCCAGAAGGAGCTACAAAAACGTCACTCCAGACAAGGGATGTCTGGGCTAAATTGCTTAGCCTGCTGCCATCGCATAAGTGGAAGATAATGGATGGATAATAGACTTTCACAATACAATAAAAATACAGGCTGTGCGATTACATTGGTCAATATTGTGATAATGATATTAAATGTGACACCTTAATAAATACCAAAGAGGACATTTTTGCTACAATTCCCAGTTCTATATCTACTGTTTTTCATTTTTTATACAATACCTGTTTTTGAAACATGTTCCTTCTGATCCAAGATGAATCAAAAACAGATTTAATCACCACTAAATTAGCCATAATTAATCGGAGGGTGGCTAATAGCTAGCTTGAGCTTTGTATGGCTTCATCAAAATGTTGAGATAGTATGGTAATAATAGCCAGGTCTCCATTCAATGGGTAAAAATGTATGCAAGATGAAGAAAATGTTATAAAGTCAGACTTCTGTGATTTTCCCTATCGAGTAACTTATAAGTCAATCAATCATTGAAGCTATAAACCACAGCATGCAATTAAATACAGAAGCTGTTTCATGATCTCAAGGGCCAAAGTATAAAAGTGTGTTGAACAGTCAGCTTTGATGAATCACTTTTAAAATCCTGCAGACACCCCGCCTCACAAACTCTCCACTTCTTATTCTTTACGGTGGCTGACGTCAGTTTGTGCCGCAGAGTTCAGAGGCACTGTGAAGAGTTCAGCAGCTGCTCCTCCAACACTCAGAGAGGTCAGGAGCAACAATTTATCCATCTGATGAGGAAGCCTTCATTTCCAAGGTGTTCAAATCAACGTGCAGCGAGGAGATTATCTCTCCCAGCTGGCCCGGGAGCTCTGAAGAAAACCCTCGAGAAAGAGCTGGAGGAAGCTGTGGGATAAAAGGACATCTGGCCTGTTCTGCTCGCCCTGCTGTCACTGCTGACTCCCAACCAGGAAAGCAGCAAGTAGTTGGAAAACGCCGGATTGGCTGTTCGGTTTGACGCTAATGACAGTGATTTTCCTGCTGAAGATTGGAAACGTACCTGTCGTAATCCCCGTCATCCACTGCAGTGCCGAACTCGATGAGGCCTTCATCCAGAGTGTAAGTCACAGTGTTGACTCCCTCTGTCACGATCACATCCGTCTTCCCGTCAGCTCGTTCCAGATCCACAATGTCTCCCTGATGAAGACAAATAAAAACAGATTAAACCTGCTCTGGAAATAGAGCTAATGCTCGAGTGGTGCAATTCAAATAAATGCATTTACTAAAGTACAAATTGCGGGCACTGTTTCCATTTATACTTCTGCATCATCACAATTCAAAGGAAAATATTCCCCTTTAATCTGCTATTTTTCTCAAATCTTCGAAGTCTACATTCTACGTTCATACTGGATTGTTGACTGTGTATTATTTGTGTTAATTGTGTTATCGTGTGTATTGTGTCTTCAATGTTGCACGACTTCAATTGCACTGCTTTTGTTGGATGTAATGGCTAAAAACAAATTGTTTGCTTGTCATATTTACTGATTTAGATTCTGTGTACAAATAAACATTATTAGCCATGTTATGATAAACACACAACAGGTTGACTTATCCATAAAGTGTTTGCTAGAAATCCTCTATGAAGTTAAACAGTTAAAATTCATCAAACTGTGCAGAAATCTTCTTTCTCCCAGCAGATAAGACAGAGCATGAGGGGCTAATATATAACCGTATGGAAGGAGGAGCTGAAGAAGAGTGAGGGAGGAGATAAGGAGAGTGAGGGTTGAAAAGAAGGAAGGATTATAATTCATGAGAATATCAGCATAGCTTGTTCCTGCTCGGGGCGAGTAGCTGCTTCAGGATAGCAGCATGAAAAACACACTGGCTCAGTCAGCTTCACAGTGAGCCCAGAGTGAGCTGCATGTGTGAGCTCATAGTGACTTCACACTTGCAGAAAACTCCTAAAAAAAACTCCTGATATTTGCCGGAGGAGCTGCATGTTTGAACGCAAACAGCTGAATTTGTCTTTCTGGACTTTTTGTCCAGACTTTGTCTTGCTGGACCCCGCAGTATTTTTCTGCAGAAACTCAGAGTCAGCTGATGTGAGAACACAGCAGAATATAATCAGGAGAATTCACCTCGAGCCAGTGGGAGGTGGGTGGTGATGTTTATTCCCTGAAATTGGTGCACAACCAGACTGTATGCAGGATCCCGTTACAATCTCCATGCACTTAATAAAACTGCTTCATTATGTTTTCTGTTCTCCAGGATGTTCTTCTCGACTCTTCTGTTGATATTGGGATTCTGTCAAACTTCACAAAGCTTTGATATGAAGGTTAATATTCTCATTATAGCATCGTATTGCTGACTGTGTTGCTTCATCTGCAACTTCTGTGTCTTTCTTTTTACATCATGTCTTGCCTCAGGAGACCCCCCCGCGCCCCACTATGTGACAGGAATAGCCTCCAACTGTGAGGTGCATGTGTGAACAACCATATCAGATGGATTTCAGGGACAGTCCTCCTGACATCCTCTATGAATTAACAGGCGTACATATGTGAAAACGGCTATAGAAAGGTCATGATTATATACATATTAGTATAGTACTGAGCAGCCAGGGTCAAACAAAAGACTATAAAAATCAAAAGTAGCACTGTTAAACTGTGAAATATAAACTCTGTTAGCTGTGTAAGTATGTCACCTGAAGGAGAAGTTTAGATTTTTTCCTCTGTAGGGTCGTTCTTTAAGACGTGCACACAGAAGTCTCACCTTGATGGGGAACATGGTGATGCTCTCGGGGCTGTCGATGCTGTACCAGATACAGAGACTCCCCCTGTTCTGTGCGACCACCACGTCACTGCAGGGCACCCACTGCACGTAGGAGCAGAAGCTCAGCAGCGTGGCCTTCACGCCGCTCTCTATGTCGTACAGATGGAGCTGAGGAGGAAGAAGAGGGACGCAGGAGATCTTATTTTCAGATTGCTCATTTCCAGATTTCAGGTTAGCATTTATCCTTTTTGTAAGAGGATTTTTTAATATGCTGCAACAGAACTACTTTTACAATAAATTACCGTAAGTCAAAAGAAAAGACACAAGACATGCAGTTTGTTTTAGTCGTACACACTCTGATCGCCCTGATTTTATATTCCCTGTTGCAGAAAGTTTTACATTGCAAACTTGAGCTGATTTGACTTGAACAAAGTTGATTACCTTCCTCCGTATAAGCACTCACACAGCAGTTTATTCTCCCCCGATGAGTTGAGACGATGTACATTCTATAATGTACAGTGGCTCCCTGAGCACCTCGTACGCTGCGAGTGTGTGAGAGAGACCGCCTGCTGCTGTAATCAGCTACCTTAATATCTCCTACACACACACACACCTCCACCACCATTTTTAATAACGCTCCATCTATAGTTTCACCCTGGGGCTCAGCTGCCCAAGTTTGAATGTAATGAGGATGAGCGAGCTGCCTGTTGAGAAGTTTCTGTTTAAGAAACATTTGTTCTACAACTTGATTTCTTCTGATTTATAACTGATGGGAAGAGAATTAAAACTGAATAAACCATCAATACTTCTTTTAAGGTGTAAGGTACTGAGGGCCTGATTCACAAAAGGATTAGGCGGCTTTTTTGTGCATGCTGAACGTGTGCAAATGAGACAAAAAGACACTCCAACAGAGTAACATTTATGTGGAACAGCAGAGGTTCTGGACAGGTCGAACCTCAGGACCCACCAACTACTCCTTCAGGAAAAATCGCAATCCACATTTTTTCATATTTGTGCGCTTCTAGGGACGATGAGCCCAGGAGGAGGGGCCCAAATTTGATGTACCGGTATACATTTTTTTTTTAAAAAAGCACATTTCTACGGGCTCTATCTTCATCATTATTTTTAAGACTTTTTCAAGAAAACGAGAAACTCTAAAAATGACCCCTCATTGATTTTTGTCATGCTGTAATTCATGCTGGTGTAAAAGAGTCGTCAGAAATCATCAACATACAGATGAAAAACTCTAAACCTGCCATTTTATCCCCTTTTAAAGTCGAATCCTTGTGACATAAACAGGAGAAAAATAACTTCCTACCATATGTTTCAAAGCAAACTGGGTTTAAATATCTGTGCTGTAAAGAAAATCTGAAGTATCCAGATCGTTCTTCTGTCTGGAAACATTTTAAAGTAAGGAGTTCTTTCTGACTAAGCACCTTAAAACTTGATCTTTACTGGCTCTAATTACCCTCAAACTTCCCACTCCTCAGCCACTTGTGCTCATCCATAAATATCTCACAATTTGTCCCACTGAAGTTCATTTTGTCAAGGGCTGAAAAACATTTACATTTGTACCAGAATATCAAAAATTTGAAGTCGTTATGTGCCATACAAGTGCAGCAAAAAAAGTTGGGAGGCCACCGAGGGATTTCCAATTACCAGAGTTCTGCCTGTCTTTGCCCCGGGGGCTCGGACATCAAACTATTTCTTTACCCCCGGGGCAACGACTGACAAGAGCTCGCTGACACTCTCATCCTTAAGCACAGAATCTCAGAAAGACGGGGGATCTCAGGTCTGCCAAGAGAGGAAGTAGAACAATATATCTTTTATAAACCTGTTTTGTTCTTTGTATCGAGATTGGAAATGTTAAACGCACATTTTTAGGATTAAATCAATAAAACACAAAGAGCTGAAGAGAAAAATTAACTCTATTATCAGGAGAAACGACCTAAAAGATTTTTGTTTTGGTTAAACACAAGAAGGACTTTTTTTTTTCTTTGCAAGACTCTAAAAAGTTGCTGAATTGTGTCACAACACGGTGACTCCACAGTCTCTCCACACCCAGTCTAACTGGACTCATCCACAGGGCCATCACACACATTGCAGCCTCAATAGAAGAGGACATCATACATCCACTGAACACCCACCTCACCCCACCTCCCTCAGGACGGAGGTACAGAGCACTGAGGTGCAGAAGAGCTCGCCTTGGGAAAAGCCTGCTCCCTGCTGTTATAGCGGCCCTGAACAAAAAGGCCAGAGTGGGAACTTCTGATTGCTGTTCATCTCTGTTTGTTTTATACACTGTGTTTTGTGTATGAAGTGGACTTTGGTGGGAATTGTCTGTTGGACAGAAACGGTGCTGTTTTGTTTTATTAACTGTATTAATAAGGAGTTTGTTGTTGGACTTTTACCATCCTCCTCTGATGTCACACTCGGGATGGAAAGCTTTAATGCTGTTATAATGTTATAATGTTGGGTTCTTTAAGATGGAGCATTTCTAATTCTGTCATCTATGCAGCTTTTCCCGGTTTGGTGTCGCGAGTGGCTGGAGCCGATCCCAGCTGTCATTGGGCGAGACCGCCCCCTGGACAGAGAATGACAGAGCTGACAGACAACCAACCACTCTCACATTCACACCTACGGACTATTAAGAGTCTCTAATGAACTAACCAGCACGTCTTTGGACTGTGGGAGGAAGCCGGAGTACCTGGAGGGAACCCACACATGCACAGGGAGAACGTGTTAACTGCACACAGAGAGACTCCTGTCAGAGTCAAACCAGGAACCTCCTCTCTGTGAGGCAACAGCGCTAACCTCTGCACCACCATGCAGCCCTAATAAAAGGTTTCTATTTCTATATCATGCCCTGTTTTCAGTTTTCTCTTCTCACTGTTTTGCCCCCTCATCATTCTGCCATTGTAGTGTCCTCTTGCACTCCTTTAAAAGGTAAATGTAGCGTCAGTGATCCTACGGAAATGTCTAACTTAAGGCCTTCAGACTCTAAAGTTTACTAACTTTACTATTTCATATCTGGCTTCTCTCTCTCCCACTGTTTCCTCTCCGATGTTCCCTCAGGGTGCTGAGGTTTCACTCTCACCCGCAGCTTCTTGTCCCTGAACAGCAGTTTGCGTCCGGTTTCATTGAGCTCCAGCCAGTCGATCTTGGAGTCGTGGCTGATGGTTGCCAGATTGTAGCCCCCGGCCAAGTCCACTGAGGGGAGAGTAGGAGAAGAACTTAACTGAGCAGCGGTGAGTCGGGGAGTGTGACATCGTATCTCAAAACAGGTTATTAATTCAAGACTGGAGTCGATCATCTCATTATTTAAAAAGATTCATTCACGTTGTTTAAACTTTAAACACTGAGCTTCACTGGGACTAAGCTACTTGTCTGCTGATAGATCAGGACTACATCCAACTGAACAAAGCCTGGTCATTGTGCTCCATTTAATGGGGCCTACAAATTCAATAGATTATATTGATTTGGTTGATTTTATATTAAGTTTATGATTATATTCTGCAATCTTTACCTGCCTAGAAGGTTCTGTTGTCCATCTCATTTATCTCTCTCGTTGTCATATGAGATATGGAAACACTACGTAGCGGAGTTAAGTGAAACTTTATGAAAGTGTGCAGCATTATGTCGTCTAATTTGTCAATACTTTTGTACAACCTGTTTTCTTTTTGTTTTTTTTGGGGGGGGGGTTAGTGACTTTCTTTTAGAGATAGGACAGTGGAAAGAGTCAGAAATCCGAGAGAGTAGGGGTAGAATATGCAGGAAAATAGCCACAAGTCGGACTCGAACCCGGGCCACCCGCCTGGAGGTCTAAAGCCTCTGTACATTAGGGCGTGCACACTAACCACTAGGCCAAGACACCACTTGTTTTTTAAATGATATATTATTTGTTATTTTAATTATCAATTGCAACAAGAAGAACAGAAACTAATAAAAACGTATTTTCAAATAAAAAGCTGCTGAGAGAGCTCTGTGTTGATTGCTCAAATAGGCTGACAACATTTCGACGGCGTGCAGTGTGAGTTAGCCTGCTTTTTTACTGTAGATAAAAACAATAAATGACCCTGGATTGGGAGTCTAGGACTTCTATTTTTGTTGCCTTTGTATGTCAATAATATCATTTGATTTTCAGTAGAATCATATCCAGGGTAAAATAATCTGGTTTGGTCACTTGCCGTCATTCGTTCTTACCGATAGCGATCGTCTTTATGTCGATCAGATATGACAGCTTCTTGTTGTCTTCAACTCCTCTCTGCTTCCTCTCATTTATCCGGACACTGCAACACACACACACACACACACACACACACACACACACACACACACACACACACACACACACACACACACACACACACACACACACACACACACACACACACACACACACACACACACACACACACACACACACACACACACACGGTAAACAACACTGGCCAGTAACAAAAAAAACGGTACATTCCCGCTAATTCAACATAGAAATATTTCATCCAGCTTCAGCTGACAGTAATTTCCTTCGGCTGCAGGTCACCACAGTTGAATTCCCTGCAGGAAACCCCTCATCATGATGTTGTCATGCAACAGTGTCAGGCCAGAGGCGAGGAGCAGTCAGAGCAAAAAAAAGTCCTCCCATTAGTCGGTCACCTGCCGACTGTCACTCATGACTTGACTGAATGACAGGGCTGAGTTCTTTAACATGGATGTGCAGTGACTAGCAGGCTGAGTGTCACTGATTTTCCTGAAACCTTGCTGAAGTAATAACAGGGATTTCTACACAGCTCAATACTGCTCCCTAGTGGACAGAGCTGGAAACACACATGAAGTTGACTAAAGGAAATGATGATTCGATGAGGAAAGAAATGCGACTAAAAGAGGAAACAAGGGGGTCACTTAATTAGTTCAATGAGCCTGAAATGTGGTCGGACATGTTCTAAAGCCTAAAGAGTTGACAGATGTCATCTTTAGGATCAAGTTGCCATGGTGTATTTAATCTGTTCTGAAACGTCAGTAAGACAAACCAAAGTCTCGCTTCATCACATTTTATTCAGCAAACAAAATCTGTAAGTTAAGGTGAAAATGATCTTTTTGTGTTGTGCCTTTAAATCTGTGTTTTTAAATTTCACAACCTAAAATCTGAGTGTTGCATGTCTGTTCTTTGGAACCAGACAAACCTGTTTGAGTTTGACGCTGAGCGTTAACTAATTGTCGGGTGTGTTTGAACCCACCTGATCAGATGAGGGTTCATAAACTCCGTCCTGACCGAACCCAGGATCTCATTGTTGCTGTACTCCACCAGGCTCAGCTCCCCGGCGTTAAAGATCATGCACACCTGAGGGAGCAGACACAACAACAGACTTAAAAGTAAAGAAGCAGGTAATACAGCAGAGGTAGAGTTAAAGGACGTGACAGGACCTGAAACATGACGTTAAACACATTATTATGACACATTATTACCTGACCTGTAAAGCCTCAACCCTCAAATCACTGTCAGGAAATTCAAGTTCTTAAGTTTATTTAAATCAGGGCCAGTGTGTAAAAAAAAACATGAGTCTCAGAAGAGAAAACCTTTTAGCAGATTTAACTAACTGGCTAATTTCCATCTGTAGTCCCTGGGCAGATGATGTCATGCACACACACACACATTTCACAAGATAGAAGAAGAACACAGAACAATACACACATATTAAAACATTATGTACATGTTTATTCTTCTTCAAAGACGTGTGTACGTACTGTTTCATTCTCAAAGAAGAACTTTTCGTTTCCTCCAGAGCCGGGCCAAGGCACCTGAGAGAGGAGAGAGGCAGAGTCAAGGCTTGAAACAGACTACATTTAACTATAAAGGACAGGAAACATGTGTGGTAGATTCAAAAGGGGGACACAGGTAGGGACACAAAACTGGAAGTGTATGGATTTAATCTGAAGATGTCTGTGAAATATCCCGCTGTCTTTGAGTGCACATTGCATCCATCTGAAGGTTGACTAACTTAAACATACTCACAGATATCAAATATCCCTGATGCATGACAGAGTGTGTTTATTTTAAAGGCCCACCTCGCTCAGGTTGTTGGTCAGCAGGTCTCCCAGCAGTAGAGTTTCAGATGTGTGAGCCACCAGGTAGCGATCTTTGCCCATGATCTTCACCTCTTCGATCTCATAACCGTAATAAGACTTCAGGACGATACGGGTTCCTGTGCTGAGGTTCCTCACCATCACCTGTGAGAGAAGGAGGAACGTGTACTTTTTTTTAATCCATGCAGACTTTGAGAATGAAATGGGTTTTTTTACATCCTTGATGTCTGTACCTGGCTCAGGCCGACGTAGGTCATCTCAAACTTGTTTTTATAGATGCTTCTCCGCAAGCAGCAATCAAACAGCTCCACTCCTCCACACAGTGTTCCCTGTTAAAAACACACAAACACATACACGTGTAAAACATCATTTAATTCTTTAATACTGATTACTAAGTGTGGGAATCTCACAATACGAAGGATATGAGACGATAGCATAAGCGATGCGTCGTCAACCGTCATGATAATGTCATGCTACCGTGATTCTGCAATGACTGATTAAGGCAATACAATCATATACAGTAACTAGACATAATGATATTTGATTCACTGAAGAATGTAAAAAGAATGTGAGTGCAGATTCATGTTTTTATTCACTGTTATTTGGTGTCTGTTTCATCTCCTATTTAACTTTATTCTTTAACCTCTTTTCCTCCCTTTGTCAACATCATCCTGCTGTCGACTTCTTCTTCTATGGCCAATTAACTTCTTTTCATATTACACTCATTTGTCCTAAGTTTCACCCATTGTATACACATATATATATATATATATATATATATATATATATATATATATATATATATATATATTTATATTGATATATACTTTGCATATACTATGAATATACTCAAATCGCTTTTTCAAAGATGTACGTTTATTTGCCATTTTCTCTTAAACAGAAGTCTGTTTGCATGCATGGATTTAGTACCGACGAGAAGGATCTCGGTTTTATCACTGTTTAATTTAAAGAAGTTTGAGGTGAACCAGGATTTTATTTCAGATAAACAAGAAGTGAGGGAGGAGGGTGGAAGTGTGGAGTTTGGTTTACTGGAGAGGTAGAGCTGGGTGTCATCCGCGAAGCAGTGGAAAAGTATATTGAATTTATGGAAAATATTGGCAAGGGGGAGGAGAAAGGTGATGAAAAGAAGGGGCCCCAGGACAGAGCCCTGGGGCACAACTGTAGTGACTGGGGAAGGCTCGGATTTGAAGGATTTGAGCTGTATGAGTTTAAGTAAAATTCTGCGTTAAAATAAGATCCTGGATAAAGTATTTACCGCACAGAGGCGTGATCCGTCTTTCTTCCAGGCCAGCGCGGTGATCGTGTAGAGGTTTTGGATCTCTTTGGGCTTCGCTTCATCCCACACTCCTTTTCTGGGAGTCCAGCTAAACACCCGCAGCCTACGGGGGGATAGAGCAGGAGAAACAACTTACTGAACCTGAGTTACATTAAGAGAGCATCATTCATCGTCTGTACATAAAAGATAAAATACTTACCGGTCATAGCTGCCGAACACGACGGACTGCCCGCTCGGGCTGGTGGCGGCTACAGTGAACTCTCGTTCCGTCCGGTCTCGGCTGTAGTCGAAGGTCTGCAGGACGTGACCCTCTCGGCTGTAAGCCACCACCTTCTTGTCACAGCCGCCCACCATGATGCTGTTTGTACCCCAGGCCAGGGCGTAGGGGGGGCATGGGTGCAGCAGCAGCTTACCCTACATCAGTGTGAAAGGGGAGTGTGTCGTCATGGAGACACATTCAAAACAAAGGTTGCAGCAACGAGAACATTTATTTGGTGATAAAAATCAAAATGTAAAACGATGTACATTTAGAATAAATAAGGATCAGGGCCAATGAGGAGAGAGTGTTTGTAGCAGCAGGCGGCGGCTGGGAGTTAGGATGCAGTGCCTTTTCTTGCAGAGCTCCAAGCGCCTATTTTTTTTCCCCGCCGTTTTTCAGAAGCTGTTGACATCACCAACGCTCTTTTCAAGCAGCCAATCAGAAACAGAGCAGTGCCTGTCATACAGCAGCTGTTGTCAAGAGACTTTTGTCATAGAGACAACTTACGTTAGGCGCTTTAATTCTCAAAACTCTCCCGATGGCACAGCCAGCACTATTCTGCCTAAAAAAAAAAAAACCTGCCAGGTGGACACAGGACCCTAACGAATGATCAGTGTCGCTGTGGTTACCTGAGACTCCCCCGAGCCTTCATCATCAAAGAAGTAGCGCACGACTGTCCCATCAGCGTGGCCAGACAGGATGCCTTTACCAGAAACACTTACACACAGAACGCACAAAGAACACACAGTGAGTGCACAGTGAAAAATAACAAGTCGATCATGTGCTAAATGATAAAGCATGGACACTCAACCTTTCTTCTTTTATTCAGAAAGGTTTTGTAGTAAAAAAAAAATCAAAATTGTGTGATTGTGTGGTTTGCATTTACTTTGAAACCAGTGAGACAACACAGGACTCGGTGCTGTACTGGGTTGAGGACTTGTTGGTCTGAGTGTTGGCAAGCCGAACCTTCGAAAAATACAGGAAGTCGAGAAATATATACAATTGAACAAACTAAATGTAATTAATCTTCTGATAAAAATAACTGATTACAAATGTCAACGTTCTTCCACAGAGCCAAAATTAAATTATTTTCTCTGTCAAGCAATATTAAAGAAGTTTTTAAGCTTAAAAAAAGCTCCTGGTACTGAGAAGTGACACACGTGCTGCACACTTACCTTGCCTTCCACTAATCCATAAACAATCGCATGTTCTGCAGGCCAAAGCACGCAGGTCACAGCACTCTGCGAAAAATGTGGATAACATTTTGCATCACAATCATGAAACCTTTCAAACCAATCGTTAGCTTTCCTGACATAGAAGAACCGCTAAAGGTCACATAGGCAAAATCCTCTTCACCATGTTTCTCTAACTCTAATAGGTGTCTCTAGTCTGTCTTCAAACCCCCCAATGATGAGAAAAGTCCATCCTCTCCGTCTTTCCCCTGCTCTACTTTTCAGAAAATGTGTGCTCAAACAGGCCGTTTGGAGATTTTCCCTTCATGACATCACAAAGGGCAGTAGCCCCTCCCCCAGGTGGGTGACACTCCCACAGCTAGGTGTTTGTTCTTGCCCTCTGAGTCTGCCTTGTCACGTAAACAATAGGACATGGAGAGAGAAAGACCCAAGTCCTTCCAGAGAGGGGGCGTGGTCAGACACAGCTCATTTACATATTTAAAGGTACAGACACAGAAACAGCCTGTTCTGTAAACAAAGTGTCAACATTGCTTACTTACCGTTTGAACAAACTTGTGGCAAATAGTTTTCTTGTCCCCCCTAGGAGAGAAGAAAACATTCATGTAAAAATTCTCGATGCATTCACACTGAAAACAAAATCAACTCCAAAAAACAAATCCGTTACCAGTCCTCTCCGATCTTGTAGACAAAGATGATGTTGTCAGACTGGGCGATGGCGATCTTTGTGGAGTCCGGTGAGAACACCATGTCATTGACTGTATAGCTGTGTTTTCCATACTGACAAAGAAAATACATTGAGATAATTATCAACACACGAACTGATGATTCGATTAAAAAGTAATTTCAATCACCGTCTTTTAAATCGGAGGTGTGGAAGCATTTTGGCTTCCCCAAGACAGAAAATGAAAGAGGTGAGAAGACAACAGACGAGACAAAAACTGTGTGCAAGAAGACAGAGAACTACACAAATAGAACAACCAACATGATGCAGCATTTAATCGACACCACAACGAGAAGCTCCAATCACTTCTCCTTGTTGAGAGAAAAAAAACATTAAAAGACACACTGACAAGCGGGTTAGCAGCCCCTAAAGGAATCTATTTCACTCATCATTTGTCTCATTTTGAAAAATAAATTGTGAGAGAATCGTATCGTGAACCCAGTATCATGAATCATATTGAGTGAATCGTTACATCCCTAATGACGACGATGGACCACGGAGACTCATCAAAGAATATGATTGAGGTTAGCTGAAATATGAAATGACCAAGTGTTTAAACCTCGTAAGTAGAAGGCAGAAAACCTCGTAAAGAGCAGTGATTTCCTGTGCAGTCGATTATATTTTTGTGACCTAATCTGTCATCTATATCTGGCAAAATGTCTTGTGTACTGCACTGTGTTTGTGCTGAGCTTGTATTTGGTCTTTGTCTTTGCAGTGTAATTAAAATGAGAAAAAAACAGTTATCAGAAGAGCTACCACACACTCTTATCCTAAAGATTGCTTGAGTCCGTCCTAAGCTTCCAAACATTCCTTCTTTTTTTACTAGAAAATGTTCTTCTCATCTTTTTCTCATTATCGTGTTTTGTGCTGTGTCTTGAATTGTCTGGTTATCTGTTTTCCTCTCTTGAATGTCTGTCTTTAAAAGAGAGCTCAATACTGATATTTACACCTGTGAACGCAGATATCTGACCCTCTTGTCTTACCTTGGAGTCTAGAGGTTTGGTGGAGAACTTGTCTTTCTTCTCTCCCTGTTCATCGTACAGAAGCACCACTCGGTCAACGGTGCACACGGCGAACTTGGTGTTGTTGGGGGCCCAGGCCAGACATGTCACTTTGGCAGCAGTCTCCTGTGAAGGCAGAGAAAACAAACAGTGGGGAAAGATCGATGACAAAAGCACCAATTAGGCTACTTTTAACTACCCATAACATGACAAATTTGAATATGTTGTGTAACGAAAGGAGCCGGTATCAAACTCAGTTAAGAGTTAATGTTAAAGCATACAACAAGAAAACACATCAATTAATACTGAACTATGATGACGCATCATCTAAATTAGGACATACTGTAAAAACTTGAATCTTAGAAAGTGTATTTGTCTAATTTCTAGTTATAAAAATACATAACACACTTATTATACGCCAAATATATCCGATAAGTCCAAACAAACATCTGATTTCAAGATATAACACGCAAAAATAAAGCCTAAAATGCATGTATTATATAGTGTATAAGCAGAATAGACACAAAAACAAACTAAATAAAAAGAGCAAGAACATTTTTACTTGTTAAATGTCTTGAAATAAGTGAACTTGATCATTTAGACAGCTTTCAGACACTCAACAGGTACAATGTTACATTGGCAGATTTAGCTTTTTACAATCATTTAAGGCCTTTTGTTAAGCTTTTAATATGTTAAAGTAAGATGTTTGTTTAGACTTGTTGGATAAACATTGTTTAATAAAAGTGAATCGATGTTTTTTACTAGAAAAGAGAAAAATATTTGCTCAAGTTTTGAGTTTTTTCTTTACTTTTCTCATCAGTAACCTGTCCATGCTTACAGCACTCAAACAAAGGATGCTCTTAATATTAATATAACTAAGAGTATGTAAATCATGTAGAAGCCTTATCACAGAGGGGATGTTGTTGTGTTTCTCTCGACTCGTCATGTTAAAGATTGTCAACAAAATGATGCTGCGCTACAGCATCCGCTAGCATTAGCAATTAGCATCTTGGACCGAGCTGGACTTACCTGCGGGGTTAAAAGCGTCTTCAGATGCCTCAGTTGCATTTCACGGGCGTGTTTGTGAAGTTCGTAAAGGATAAGGTGTTATTGGCGCTGATATAAAGAGGATTAAGTTTAGTTAAATAATCATTTTGTTGACCAGCTGCGAGATATAGCGCTTAGCACGGAGGACATCTTTGCAGTAAACATAACTGTGATCTCCTTGGTTACGGCCGGGACTCGTGGTGCGTTTAGGACCATGGGAAATATAAGCGACTTTTTAAAACATGTGCTTTTTGCGTAGTACTGTTTCGACAAAATGTCAATATTATGTATATTAAAACTGAATTAAACACTAAATTACATTTATTTGTAGCGTTGAGCTTCCATATACCTTAAAAGCAACAACAATTTGATGAACATGACATTAATCGAGCTTTATAAAATGACTACGTAAAAAAAAAAAAAAAACATACAATGAGTTATATTAAACGTGTTTTATATGTATTGGACTGCGATAGATAAGAGATTAATACAGGTAATTAAAATAGTCACGTGAATATGGCCAGGGTTTCAGGTAGTCCGAGGAGGAAAAGGTCACTTGGAGATGCCGGGGATTGAACCCGGGGCCTCATACATGCAAAGCATGCGCTCTACCACTGAGCTACATCCCCTTCCATGTTTCTCATTAAACAATACTAGAATTTATTCATTTATCTATTGTGATGGTGTGTGAATTATATGTTCTTCCTTTATTTACAGTCTAGGCTCAAGACGGATAACTGATGACACTTTCCTTCACTTTAACTCAAATAAATGATTTAATCCTTTGCTACATGTATCTTACAACAATCTGATATACTCTGTTATGTCTGTTTTTTTTAAATCCAAATTATTGGTAAAATAATGTTGAATATTTATTAAGGATCAAGCTACCCAGAAGTATAAAAACTATTTTAATGCTCCGTACATTTAAACAGCTGCCAGATTGCTGCAGGAGGCTTTTTGTATCAGTACAACCAGGTTTAAATTTACCAGAGGTTGAACAACATCACCAGCCTAGTGGATAAAAACTGAATTCCAGCTGCTGAGAAGCTGGTGCTGCAGGCAGTGCAGGTAAGTGATTACGTCAAAGTGGCGCCAAATTTTGTGAAGTGTACTGGTTGCACCGGAAACAAACGTTTGTGCCTTCAAAATAAAGCTGCACAAATTCTCGACACTTCCCTTTCTATGGATGCTTTTGAAAACACTGGGAGGAGACACTCAACTTGCAAGATTGATTGGAAAATGATCCTCCTAACACCAAACAGAATGCCTATTCCAGAAATGGCTTGAATTAGATAATTATATTTTTTACTTTAAAGATTGGCTGAATATCAAGGTTCAAGGTTTCTTTATTTGTCTCCCTCGGGAGAAATTTGTCTCGGATACTGGGAAATTGCTGCATGGACAATACAGCAAAACAATATAAAAATAAGTGATTACAAATGTGCAAAAACACACACACACACACACACACACACACACACACACACACACTCCTACAATCACATGCACATGCACACACACACACACACACACACACACACACTCCTACAATCACAGGCACATGCACATGCCACCTTATGAAAAGTCACATCTAACTTGCTTTAACTACGTACACTTAAGTGTCATAAAGACGTGATATTGCTGTGTTCATTTTTTCAGAAGGACTGCCCCTGAAATTCTCTTGCTCGTGTTGTTCACACATGCACCTCACAGCGGGAGACCGTCTCTGTCAGACGTGTGGGGTGCGGGGGTCTTTTCAGGCAAGCTGAGAAGGAAAAAGAACGATGCAGAAGTTGCATAAGATGCAGAGTCCACTATACAACATTATAATACGACTAATTGCCTTTCTTTCAATGCTATGTGAAGTCTGACAGAATCAGAATATCACTGGTGGTCAAGTGGTTGGCTTAGTGGTGCTTACAGCATCACAACTCATATCAATAATGCTACACACTGTGTGTGTTAATAATAATAACTCTTTCCACAAGTGGAAGTGTACATACCTGGTATTATTCTATCACTGTATGTTTTCTCCCTTTATTTAACTGATGTACATATGTTTGATTTTTAACTTCTTGTTATTTTTAATAATTATATTCTTGTTTCCTGTCTTCTTGAGCTGCTGTAATGAAAAAACTGTCCCCCATGGGGGATCAATAAAGTTTATCTTTTATCTTTGCACTCCACATGCACAGAGTCTGTAGTCCTCGGTCTCATTCCTGAATCTCATTTCCCACTCATACTCTCCCCGATTCCCTGACTCTCCTTTCTCTGCAACAAAGGCCCAAAATAAATCTTTAAAGACACTTTTATTGGAGTTGGCCAATCAGATAGCTGGGATGGTCATGACCACCCCTGGATCCACCCTGAACATGCTCAAAGGTTTTCTTCATAAATCTATTATTTTTATATTTACTCAAAGTTATTAAAGTCAAGCTGTTGCTGTCAGACATTATATTTTGTTCTTGTTCAAACAATAACCCACAGTATTTATTTTATTCGTTCTTTTATTTTGACACTTCCTACCTCCCGGAAACGCGATGACTCGCTTCGTCAAACTTTCCGGTCCAGGCTGCGGGCCGACTTCCACACTACTGGCAGCGCGTGTGGAACACTTTGTGCGCACCGTCCCGTCCGACTAACCGGAGAACTAACCGACTAAACCCTCTTTTTTTTTTTTTTTTGTCTCCTAGTCGACTCCGGATCCGCGACGCCGCTGACAGAAGTCAGTCCGGAGCGGAAATTTAGTTTTTTAACGTCAGTTTCCCTTTTTTTCCCCCTCTCATCTTGCATCCTCTGCCTCTTAGCGCGGCGTGCGTTTCACGTGGAGTCCGGGGTTTCATCACTCCTCTCACACATCCTCCAGTTTCTGACTGCTTAGCATTACGTGTCTCTGAGGAAATAATGACAAAGATGGCAACTCTGATCCTAGAGGACGGGACGACATTCAGTGGCCTCCTTTTCGGAGCGAATGTGTCCGTTTCTGGAGAAGTTGGTAAGCCCTTTGAAGTATTACCTCATAACTTTATCAATCACTGCTAAACCAGCTAGCCCGGCACACAACAGTACTAACTAAACATCTTTTATTTATACATTTTTAAGCGCAACATAAACCCCTAAAACTCAACCTTGTATCCGCCTCTCCTCTCGCCAAACTCCATTCATAAATCAGTAAATTAAAGGTTTCACTAGCTGCCATTGACATCCTGCACGCTTGCTTGAAAACACAGCATTTCACACCTTCCTGGAAATGCCACTTTTAAATAGATACATCACTTTGATCTGTTTTAAAGATAAATGCAACGACATGCAGCGTTTCATGTCAGACTCTGCACACCTCTGCCAGTTTCTCCACCTGTGGGCATGCTGTGGCAGACGGATGTGTGGGTTTGCATGACCTACTTTTTGAACTTTGAAGGATGTTCCTTTAAACGTCGTTCAACATGGGGAAGGCATGCCGAATTAAAGATTAGCCAGTGGGGATTTTTTGTGCAAAACACAACTTTGCTCTGCATGGTTGGTACTTTTCTCTACGACCATGTTAACTTTAAATTGATAGAATCCTGAACGTGGTTTGGCGGGACAAATTAAAGAGACAGCAGAAGGGACTGTATCTTTCTGCATGTTGATTAGAAGAGCTGCACACATCCGGATGCCAGAATTCAGAGCCAGTTTTATTACATAATGACCAGCTGAGGTGTGAAAGTTATGACAAATCTCAATTCACACATTTATGTTAATCCTCATTAAAAAAAAGAAGCTATGCAGAAAAGTTTTTATGTAAGCTCACATCAAGAAAATTGGGATTTATTCCAACACATGAAGACTTGTGCTCCATGTGTTAAATCATGTGAGCTCAGGTGTGATCTGTATAACTGGACCGTGCAGTGATGATGTTTTTTTGTGTGTTCAGTGTTTCAGACGGGCATGGTGGGATATCCCGAGGCTCTGACCGACCCATCGTACCGCTGCCAGCTGCTGACGCTCACCTACCCTCTGGTGGGAAACTATGGTGTGCCAAAGGATGAAGACGGAGAGTTTGGACTGAGCAAGGTGGGTAGTTATTTAGAGTTTGAAGCTTAGAGTAATGTAAACACTATAACAGTCTGTGGACGATGGAGGAAAAGAATCTGGGTCTAACCTTTTTCTATGTAATTTGTCATTTAGTGGTTTGAGTCTTCAAAGATCCACGCTGCCGCTCTGATTATCGGAGAGCTGTCGGACGATCCCAGTCACTGGAGTTCAGTCAAGTCGCTGGACCAGTGGCTCAAGGAGCAGGGGATTCCCGGACTACAAGGTCAGCAAATCAAGAACTAATGTGAATAGACTTAGAAATAGTTTGACAGGAAAGTGATGAATGCAAGAAAAGTGTCAGCTAGTTGACCTCAAATATGAATAAGGACGTAGAAGAAGATGTTTTGCTAAATGAAGTTTTGACACCAAAACAATCAAAGGCGTTTTGTTAGTGTTCCCCAAAAGACAACTTTGTCTCCATGTCCTCCAGGCATCGACACCCGCCACCTGACCAAAAAGATCAGAGAGAAGGGCACCATGCTGGGGAAGCTGGTGGTAGACGGGACCCCTGAGGACAGTGTCCCCTTTGACAACCCCGACAAGAGGAACCTGGTCCAGGAGGTCTCCACGAAGGTAACCGACCCAGATCGTCTTTTAATGAAACACCCTGACTGTTCTAGACTAGACAATCCTTCTAAATTCTGCTAGCGTTGCCAAAATATTTGTACAATCTAGAAAGTGTGCAGGAGTTTGCCTGCATGAATTGACCCGATACTGGATGTATTTTTGTTGCCGTGGTATCTCTCGAGCACACACAAAGGTTCAGTGGTACTGAAACGTTGTGATTTTTTGTTTAATAAATTAGTGATACTTAGCAAGAGAATTGTGCGGGATTGTTGTTGTTGTTTTTTATATTCAAGTAAATAAAACAGAAAAAGTTCTGACTATGTTGCGTACCTTTTTTTAATTTCTCCATTTGTCCCCAGGAGCCCAAAGTTTTCAACCCGACGGCAGTCTGCGGATCACAGTGTTGGACTGCGGCATCAAATACAACCAGATCCGCTGCCTGGCTCAGAGGGGAGCCTGTGTGACCGTCGTTCCCTGGGACCATCCACTGGACAGCAAAGGTCTGAAACTGTGCTACACCTCTTTTAGTTTCACACTTTTAAAAAATGTAAATAAGTGGAAGAGGAAACGAAGCCAGGAGGGTTTTTAAAATCTCTGCCTACCCTTCAAATATTATTTAGTATTATTTTTTATCTTCAAAAACAAATGAATGCAGCCGTGAACGAGGAGATGTTTTTTGTGCACAATCCTGTTTGGATTTATCCAAAAAGTTAGCCTCATGATGTATTTGTTCAACCTTAATCAAAACGCAGCCCTGTCTTTGTTTTTCCTCCGTCTTCTCCTCCGTTTGTAGATTTCGATGGTTTGTTTATCAGCAACGGCCCCGGGGACCCTCAGTTCTGTCAGACCACCATCAACAACGTGAGGAAGGTCGTCTGCGTGGAAAGTCCCAAGCCCGTGTTGGGATTTGCTCGGACATCAGCTGCTGTCGTTAGTCATCGGATCGAAGACTACAAGATGAAGTGAGGACCTTAAACTGAATGTGCCATAACAAAGATCTGTCTTCACACCTTTTATTTGCAATATTTTCTTGATTTTTCAAATTTTGGTCGAGGAAAAGTTCCCTTCTCAAAGCCTTAAACTAAATTTTCTGTAATTATCAACCAGTTGATACGCTGTTGGTGTATTGGTGTAAAACGTATACCTTAAAGTAAAATGCTGAACTGCTTACACATCATTTCCAAGCTTACAGAGGATGTCTGAAAGTAGGACAAAGACAAAATGTGCCCCGCTGACCCGCAGCGAGGGACCCGTTACACTCTCTAGAAACACAAACCTTGGAGATCACACACACACACACAACACACACACACACCACCACACACACACACACACACACACACACACACACACACACACACACACACACACACACACACCCGTCCTCTGCAGGTCTTGATGTGAACTGCAGGTTTTTGCTGTTCTCAGCAGTCTGTCCCTCCTGTGTGAGCTGTGGGGTGTTGGTCTGGCTGCGTTGTTATGAAAAGATTAAACCCAACAAGGGAGCAGGCAGTCCGCTCGGGAGGGGGTGTCAGGGAGGTTTTTCTTTTCCCCTGAGACTTCGCTGATGGGCGTTTTATCAGACATGGCGTGAAGGTCACCGCGGGCTGTGAATGTTTCCTTTACCCTGCTGAGCTGCAGCTGGCATCTGGGCCGACAAATCCACAGAGCCCAGTTTGATGTCGCTTTATAGATCTAAATAACACCTACACTAGAGAGAGAGAGAGAGAGAGACACACACACACACACACACACACACACACACACACACACACACACACACCACACACACACACACACACACACACACACGTCGGACTTCAACCCTGGCCGATCGGTTTGAGGACTTCAGCCTCCCATTGTCTAACCCTGCAACAAGTATCCCTTTTCATTCTGCGCCATAAGGACGCTCCGCAGTCATAACACCTGAAGACATATTGATTCTACGACGGTTAATATCGCTGTCCAGCTCTGTGAATCCACATTGCATTGTGAGGTTTTGGAAGCGCTTTAGTGAGAGAGCACAGCACAGGGGGAGCTCCACATATACACACCACTGTTGCCATTCTGTCTGCTTTAAGCAGTTGCCTGTTGAAATGCACACACACACACACACACAGCGCTGCTTACCCCCGCTGGTTCCACTGATCCCCTCTTGCCCTTGTAATGCCTCTGTTATTACTGCCAAAGACGGACAGAGGGGGGGGATCACTTTGTGTTTTTTCTTCAGATTTTTGATGGCTGATTTTTAATCTTGTTAAAAAACAATCACACTGATAGATCCGATAAATTGAAGTTAGAAATCCTCTCAGAAATGCCGTGATCGATATCCTCCATTCAAATCCAGAACGATACGACGACTACAACATCTACCTAAAATAATGTATTATAATAAAACGTCCCCCCCCCTCTTGTTTCTCAGGTACGGTAACCGCGGCCACAATCAGCCGTGCATACACAAGGAACAGACCGCTGCTACATCACAGTCAGAATCACGGCTTCGCAGTCGACCCCGACACTCTTCCCAAAGACTGGGACGTCCTCTTCACCAACGCCAACGACCACACCAACGAGGGCATCGTGCACAACACTAAACCTCTGTTCAGGTAAAAACACTCGAGACACTCGACATCACTCCGTCCTCTCAGAGTGTTGTGATTAAACTGAATCATTCTGTGATTTTTTTTCTCTCTTCCTCTCAGTGTTCAGTTCCACCCGGAGCACATGGCCGGGCCCACAGACCTGGTCGGCCTGTTTGACGTCTTTCTGGACGCCGTGAAAGACCACAAGGAGGGAAAAGCCTCCAAAAGTGGTAACAAACACTTCACTCTTTTTGTTGTTTTGTTTTTTCTGAAGATGAATTTTTAGGCTTTTTGTGCCTTTTTATTGGAGAGCCAGGAAAGCAGATAGATTTGGGATTTGGGGCGAGGAAGAGAGAGGGAAACTAACCACTCATCTCGTGTTTTTAAATTGCTTTTTTATTCACCCTCGTGGAAAACGTCATTTTTTAAGGCCAAGTGATGATTTTTGGGGCGTTTTGGCCTCAGTTAAAGAAACAGGACAGTGGATAGAGTCAGAAGTTAGAGAGAGAGAGAGAGAGAGAGAGAGTGGGAAAGGAGCCACATGTCGGGTTTGAACCCGGGCCACATACTTCAAGGACGCCCTAACCACTCGGCCAACAAGCGCCCCACCAAGTGATGACTTTATCAGCATCATCCTGAAGTCTTGATGTCAGATTAGTAAACGTCTGCTACTCAAATAAGAATTCCACAAACGGGAGCTTGTGGGTTTTTCTTTTCAGTGAAGCAGTGCCTGATGGACCACCTCACCTACCCGGGCTCCCCGAAGCCTGAAGAGATGATCCGACCCAGGAAGGTCCTCATCCTGGGCTCTGGAGGACTGTCCATCGGCCAGGCGGGGGAGTTCGACTACTCCGGCTCTCAGGTCTGTCCACAGTAACCTCCTCGAGATGAGAGCACTTCAGATATCATGTTTTCTGTAATTAAAGTTCACAACTACCCTGAATATGCCAATCATTTATTGGCCCCGCCCCCTTTATACATCATATCCATACAGAATGCCACTGCCCGTCTTTTAAGGTTTTTGTAGGCTGCAACATCTCAAAGTTTCATCAACATGGACTTGAATTTGAACAGGTTTGTTGTTGTTGTTTCAGGCTATTAAGGCGCTCAAGGAAGAGAACATCCAGACGGTCCTGATCAACCCGAACATCGCCACCGTGCAGACCTCCAAAGGTCTGGCCGACAAAGT